CAAAGCGATTGGCTGCGGCATTTATTAGGATAAGTTATACCATCTCTCGAGGTTGTCTAACTTTTGAGTAATTTTCCGCTCATAAAGACGAGGAAGTCCCTAATTTTTGCTCTTGAAAACAGTGAGCATGTTTAACTCGCTAACACAAGACGAGGTGTTTTGGCTGTATTTCTGGACTTTGCTGGCTTTATCTAGCTAGCATTATCCCAGTGAAAACATAACCGCAGAGTTAAATGGATAATGTGATTTTGTCATGTTTTAATTATGGAAGTTTGGCCGCTGAACACAATATGTATTGAATACAAAAAATTATTGTTACAGAAGAATAAACAGACTACCACAAAGGGTTACGAGTTTTGAGCTGTTTAGTAAGCTCGCTGTTCAAGTTTCAAATTAAAGAAGATGGCTTGACTTTCTGTGTTTAAGCCTGAGAAAGCACTCTTCGTGATCTAAACTATAACTATATAACAAAAATTATAAGTCACAACTAGCTTCACTTAGGTTTGTTTTGCAACTTAGTTGTTGTGGTTCTCCCTGTCAACATGCATGGTAATAATGTAAGTGAATTGCCTAACCCCTCAATCTGGAGGGCCAGGTGTCTTGTCTTTCACCTGAAACCTGCCCAGCACGGTTGAACCCAGCAGGGACTGTGGTCCCAACTGGTATAGCCTCGAGGATCACGAAGGCAACCAAACCTTCCCACCACTTAAAAGGCATAACGCTTAGGGAGGTGGAAACAAAGTACAGAATAATCTAAACAAAGCACAATTCTACATTATTAAATTATTTAGCGTAATGGCTCGATTTAGCGCCCGGAGCGCTTATATACGAATGGTTTCTCAAATGAGGGCGCTTATTAGAGACAGGGCGTCTATCTCTTTTAGACTGCGAAACAAAACTCTAAAACCATGAAACAGGAGCAGGGCACCTTATAGGCAAGAATTAGCAAACGTGTACGATCATGGCTCGTTCTGAAAATCCCTTGATTTGGAGTTCGAAGCTTGTTTATAAAGGCGAATTTTCGTCTGCTATACGAGGTCATCATGGCCACAAAGCGACATGGTCTCCAACTAAAGGAGAGTCTCTGGCAGTAGGAAAGGGAAAGAAGCCAAACAAAACGTTGAATTCGTAGTTGGGACTCATCTTCAAGCTTACAAAAGATATTTTCCCATGGAACTTTCCTTCCTGATATTCCTTTCCTTCCTTTCCTTCCTTATATTCCTTTATATTTAAATTATTTATTACCTTAGTATTTTAGTATTTAAGGATTTTAGTCTTTCAGTTGTTTCATAGGGCCATAAAGGTTGATTTCCACTAACGCGTATTTGGCTGCGCTCGTTAACGTACGTAAATTTTAATCACGTAAATAAAAAAGAGGCTAGATATAAAGTGTTGCGATAAAACGTGAAGTTAAGCGAGGTTCTACTTTTACGCTTACCTGCAACCTTTCGCACATTGCCTCTATTTTATTGCGAACGTAAATTTTACGCGCGCACGCACGTACAAATTACGCGAAAGTGGAAATCACTCCTAAGGGAGAATACAGTACAACTGTAATTATGCACCCTATTGAAATAAATTGTAAAGAGTAAATTTTAAGCTCGGTGAAACAAATGTAAAAATAAATTAATCAGTTTAAAATTTACCATCTCTCATTCTTTTACCACACAGTACGACATCGACATTGCTGATCCTTGCAGTATGCAGGACGCGTGTCAGATATGAACCTAGTATATGGCCTAGCTCTCCATGAGTTCTCCGTAGCTCAAGTGGATAGAGTGTTTTCACATGACGTCACGGCGGCCATATTGGTATCCCAAAACAATGAAACGGCGGCCATGTTGGTGTCCCAAATCAATCCTCTGGGAGTTGAACTCTTTTCTTATACAAACGCTTTTTTTGTTCCAATAAATTTGCATAGATACTGGCCACGTGAGTGAAAACACTCTATAGAGCGCCCGCCCGGTGTTTGGGAGGTCTTAGGTTCGAATCCTGTTGGGGACTCAGATTTTTTATTTGTCCAAAGCTTGTGACATGCTGATTAATTCATTTTCATAGTATCCATAATATTTACAAACTCTTAACATATATAATCCGGAACTAGCCTTAGAATGAATGTTATGATCGAAATGCGTGTCGCAGTTGCATGGTAGCTTTGTAAATGTCACTCCTAATAGAGAGTTTTCACATGACGTCACGGCGGCCATATTGGTGTCCCAAAACAATGAAACGGCGGCCATGTTGGTGTCCCAAACCAGTCCCCTAAGAGTTGAACTCTTTTCTTATGTGAACACTTTCTTTTGTTCCAATAAATTTGCATAGATGCTGGCCACGTGTGTGAAAACACTCTATAACTTGAGTTCCCCCTTCCTCTCAATATCTTTCATGGGTTCCGGGATTGGTTTCTTAGTATTTCCTCTAACCACCATTTCCCACGTCTTTTTGAGATTCAAGGTTATAAAATTCTCAATAGACCAGCGTAGGGTATTCTGCACCTCGACTAAAGATAAGTCCAGAGTATTAGATGTTATATATAGGGACACTCAAAGTGATGTCGCCAGTATACTTCAAGAGAAGATTCTTGTTTGGATTTGCGGCTATGATGTCATTTACCATAACAGAAAACAAGTCAGGACCTAACACAGTTACTTGTGGGACTCCTCTATTGATGTCCACAAACTTTGTTGACACGTCATCAACTACAACCCTTTGCTTTCGATTACTCAAGAAGTTTATTATCCAGTTGATAACATATTGATTAATGTTGTACGATCCCAACTTGTTGCACACTATTTCATGCGAGACCGAATCAAAGGCTTTACTAAAATCAAAGGAATATACCTTAGCAAAGTCAGCTTCTGTGTCCAGCCATCCTAAATAGTTATGTTGACATTTAATGAGGGCCATAGTAGTATTGTGACTCTCCTTGTAGCCAAACTGATCAGATCTGATTTGTGGTTCAGTTTACAGACAAGCCTTTCAAATATTCACATCATGATGTTAGTTAATGAGATAGGTCTCAGCTGATTGCATTCAGACAATGGTGACTCTTTTGGAATGGGTGAGACGTTCGCTAGTTTCCACAATGAAGGGACTACTTGATGTCTAAGAGAGCTGTTGAAAATCTTAATAATAATAGGGGCAAGATGGTGGGCGTAATCACGCCAGAGCCATTTTCGGAAATTCATCCGGCCCTGGTGCTGTTCTCTTCCGATTAATTAAAAAATTCCTGACTGAATGTTCATCATTGTAGGTGCCTGGCATCTGTAAGGTATCTGCAGATCGCACTGGAGCTCTATACGCCTCGTCAGTATTAATAGATTGAAAGTATCCATTGATAACATCAGGACGAATCACTTTACTAACTCTTTCTATCTGTAATCCTGTTCGCGATGTCCCACCAGCCCTTAACGTGCCTAGAGTGTTCCTTGCTTTCATTATTGACAGCATTCACTTGATTCCAGCAAATGAGAAAATTAATCCTCTCCTGTCGCGTGATGTTTTTTGCCACACTGCAGGTGTGTGATCTCTTGTTCCTAGTATTGCAAAGATGTTTCACGAGCGGGAACATGAAGGGAGGGCCCCTGGACGACACCTTGACCCTGATGCGGGGAAAACTTTCATCAAACATAGTCCATAATCTATCATTCAACACCCTTACACACTCTTCAGGTCATCCAAGCCAAGGATATCTGACCAGTCGCACAGCTCTAACTTCACTTCCACAGCAATTTTGCGAAGGTCGCGGGTATCTCTAAAGCTAACAAATTTGACAACAAGGTGGTTAGATCTTACAAGTCCTTTGTGCACTGTTCCTTTTTTGCAAAGGAATGAGCCGTTCGTAAGAAGGACATCTAAGATGCGATCCCCCCTAGTAGGGGCCATAACCAATTGTTGCATGGCCTACCGCTGCATGAGTTCTTTGATATTCAAGTGATTAATGTAACCCGCAATTATGATCTTAGTGTTCGGATCGTCAGCAAGGGTCTGATGACATGTTTCTGACATATATTTAAGGACATCAACAGGGTCATAAACAGGATCAGGGGATGAATGAATGATTTACAAAGTACTTTCCTTATATTATCTGCATCTTTTTCCTCCTCTAGCTGCTGTTTTTCTTCTGGGATAACTTTGATAATCGTTGCCTTTTTAGCTTGAGGCTTCATGTTTGTGTTTGTGTTGTTGTTTCATTCACGATAAAGAAAACTGGCAGTGTTTTTGCCGTCTCCTGTCACGCCACCTTCCACCATGATTTGGTCACGAGCTGTAATGTATCCCGAGCGGGTTACAATTGCTCAAATGTATCACGATCGGGATACATTTGATTTTAGTCAGGGCCATGTGACCAAGAATCAACCAATGGCAGTCCCTGTTTATTTGAGTGAAAGTCTAGGAATCTAACAATAGTCTGTTATTGTCTTTATTGAATAGCAACGCTTATTGGTATTGGGGCGCTTGGAATGAGGGTGCTTATGCAATAGAGGTGCTTATTAGAGTGGGAGCGCTTATTAACAAAAACCCATTCGAGGTGGAGGCGCTTATTGGAACGAAGTTAGTTCGCTGAAGTTTAGAATAATTTTTTTTTTCTTAGAGGGACAGGTATTTTACATGAATGCAAACAACACTTATGATTCTTATGACGCAAAACATAATCATTTATGGTGTTTTGAACATGCATGGAGACCTGAAAAGTAAGCGCATTAAGAAAAACAAGTTTAAGATAGCAGGTGGATTGTTTAACACTGTTAAAAAGAACCAACATTTAATTCTATCTGTCACATTTGAAATGCAGTAAAATTATGTTTACCATAGATTTGTTTTAGTAACTTAAGAGACCATACTGAAAGATCACAAGAAGGACAATTAACACTGGTGTAGTACTTAGTCGCTGATGGAAATTAACCCCGCCCCCCTCCCTCCCTTCACCTCCTAGGTCAGTCAAGTGAAGTAGAAGCCAATGAAGTACGCAAACTCTAAGACATTACTTACCTTTAATAAGCATTCGGGTTTTTTCACTAGCTCCTTTAGAAATAGAAGCACGCGGAGAAAAAGCACAGCTCGCTTATCAAAGTGCTCTGAAAGATGGAGCTGTTAATGTTTTCCGTGGTCGAGTATTGCTTATTGGGCAAGATCGAGCAGGAAAAACAAGTTTGAAGAAGTCTCTCATTGGTCTACCGTTTAATTCAAAAGAAAAAAGTACTGATGGAATTGAAGTGGATCCATCAAAATTTCAGTTGGACGTTGATGAAGTCAGGAATTGGCAACCTATTGATGAGAGAAAACAAGGGTTGCTAGGATGCTTGAAAGATGTGGCACAGATGGTGGTGGAAAAGATGAATGATACTTCAGTTAACCGTGATTGGGTTCAGGAGGAGGAAAGAGGTGATGCGATTCTTCAAAATGATTATAACAAGAATAGGAAACAGGTTGGTGCTGATGCAGAAGAGGAAGAAGTTACTCTTGTGAACCAGGTTTGTCTTTGTTGGTTTTAAAATGTGATGTTTGTTCGTGAATCCTTCGTTACGTCAATAATTTCCTAACAGTAATTGCCCCCGCAGGGATTTCGCCCAGAAGGCGAAATCGCGAGGAGGTACTCTAGTAACTCGCGCGCATATTAAGGAAAGTACTTACAGTTGAAACATACAGTCATACAGTCAGTATAGAAAAAGTCTCGATTTGCTTGAACAGGGGCCGCGAGGAATCGGTAGGTAATGATGACGTTTCTATTGTTTGCGCCCGCAAGTACGAAATGGTTAGGATGACGTTAAGACAGAACATCCCCAAGGGAACGTTTATGTAGATTTTGTGACATTTATTGTGCGGTCATACTTCGACACTCTTTTACGTTACGTGTTATCAGTGACATTCTGTGGAGCAGTTGTTTCAGTGAAAGTTATGGACCAAAATTTTAACGACACTCGTTAAGCGCAGAAGAAGTTATAAGGTGCGTATAACTGTGTATATATAAACACTTGGAGAGTTTGCCAAACACGAGTTCCCAAATCTTTCATTGGAAACCTTGCCAGACACTCTTTCTCTCTCTTTGACCGGAACAAGACTCAGCCCCAAGCAAGCAGGACGAGTGAACAACGGCTAGCTTCACACTAGCAGAACGATGGACGATTACAGAAATTCGCCGACAATCAAATTCTGTGCTGACTTATTCCCTGCTCACAGATGTCCTTCCGCTATAAAGTTTAAAATAAGACTAGAATGCGCGAGATTGAATTGATCAAACGTCCTTTTAATTTCTAAGGCTTCCTTTCCGGGAAATAAAATGAACTGAATGTAAAAAGTGAAAGAGAAATAGCGAAAAATTCAACTTCTAATGAAATCTTTTCTTATGGTTTAGAATAAACTATTCTCGAAACTGAGAATGTTTTGATCAAAGCTATATAAATCGACCTGAAACTGTGCATGGAACCTTGCGTTTCCTGTATTTATCTCACCTATTGTATGACATATGTGTGAAAATCTTCATTATGAATCGGTATATTTCAAAGAGCTACACAACGAGCAAGAATGCTATTGACCGACAATATACAGAGCGGGGGCAGCTGTAGTGTCAACTATTACTAGTTATTATGAATTGATTATTGCCTTCATAAGTTAGGTTTTAGTGAGAAACTCACCACGGCTTCCCTGCCTTTTACTACGATATCATTATGGAAAATATGTAATAATTGCCAGATCGTGGTTTTTTTTTCAGTGCTGGTTAAAAATTTAGCATTTTTATACTTGTCTGATAAGTTCAGTTTCGAGTAAAGAATGATATTACTATCAACCATTTTGTTATATTTCCATGATTGTACCCATCTACACATAAGCTTAGCCTTTGGGTCATTAGTGCGTATGCAAACCAAACTGAGTATAACCGTTTCTTTATTTATACTTTTAAGTGTTAATTAGTCTTTGAGTATAGCTTTCGCTAAGTTTTTTTTTGCCAATCACAATTTCCCTACGCTGTTTTCCTTTTTATGCGAGGAGCAAGGCCAAAGGGTTGGGGGGACTCAATCAAACACCATATTTCTATATATTCTTAAATTTACTGTTCCTTGAAAAATGCAGGAGCATTTTAATGTTTTGGATACTGTAGTGTATACTATGCTAATGCAAGCGCGTAGAAGCGAGAGAATGAATGTGATGTAATACACACGGGAATTACGTAATTTGCATGTACTATAGATAGCGTGTGTTGTAATTTATTCGAGTCAGTTAGCGTTCTGAGTTCGGAGTGTAACGGTCGTGAATAAAGTGTGTTTTAACCTAACCGCGGTACTACATTGGCGACGAGGATATTTCGAGGATATTTCGAAGATTTCGCCGAGGGTTTCAAGAGTTTCGTTGAAAATTTCGCTGTGGATTTCGTCGAGGATTTCGTCAAGGATTTATTTCAGCGATGCCGGGAGGCGGTGGATCGGGCGAAACTAACGCGACAAGCGGTACTACGAGCGACTTGTGATTTTGGCGCCGGCGAGGATGACTACATTCGCGATCAGCTCATAGACAAGTGTTATTCGAGCCATTTACGCCGGAAATTTCTGGAAAAGGAAGGAACTGTTACGTTAGATGAATTGTTGCGTGTTGCAAGATCCCAAGAAGCGGTTGATCGACAACTGAAGCAATACAGTACCGACCAAGCAGATAACCAGGTCAATGCAGTGGGTGGCAGGCTGTATGGAAACAAAAAACCCAGAAAAGCAAAGACGTGCTTTAGCTGCGGACAAGAAGGACACTTCAGTCAAGACAAAAAGTGCCCGGCGCGTGGTCAAACTTGCAGGAAGTGCGGCGAAACAGGCCATTTCAAAGTTAAATGCCCTCGACTCCATCAGCTAAGCAGGACCCATTCGGGATCTAGAGGACCTGAGAGTAGCAGAGGCGGACGCGGCAGAGGAGGCAGGAGTGCTGGTGGACTGGGTCGAGGTGGACGCGGACGCGGAGGGCGAGAGACGAACCTCGTGACTGGAAGACCTAGCCCTGGAGAAGAAGACAAAGGAGATTTCGCTACACCAGGTCATTCGCAAAGACCCGATTATGCCTTTTCAGTGGAACAGGTGAATGATCGCAAGGAACAAAGGAGCGCTTTGGTAACGCTGGTCATTGGTGGTGTAGACGTACGCGATGTTCTCATTGATTCGGGAGCTTCATGTAATGTTATGGGCCAGCAGACCTGGGAGTTGTTAAAGCAAAAGGGGATTAACTGTGAATCTCGCAAATCTGCAAAGGAACTTTTTGCTTATGGTGGTACAGAACCTTTACCGACCCTAGGAACGTTCACGGCAGATGTCACGCTGGCTGGGTTTGAAAACGGAAGTAATGCTGATTTTGTGGTGGTTGAAGGCGATGGTCGCACGCTGTTGGGCCGAGAGACTGCCGAGGCGCTAAACCTGTTGCGTATTGGTCCTTTTCAGACAAACAGTGTTGACGGTGGGCGATCGGACGGGGATGTCAGAGAGAAATACAGGGCGCTTTCCATTTAGTCAAAATTTCCGGAATTTCCGGTTCGGCGGTAAATGGAACACGTTTCGTCGGTTCGTCCCACTGGAAAATTCCCAGAAAAAGTGGAAAATCTAAAAAGGTGGTCCCGTTTTCCCGGTTGGAATTTCCGAACGGAATGTCGTGTTCCATTGACGTTTCTTGTAGTTTGTACCAGTTCCAGGTCCACGGTCGGGCACCCGGCCACGTACCGGGGTTTACGACCAAATGGAACAACTTTTTACCGATCGGAAATTCCACTTTTGCTACCACCGAAATTTCCGGGTTTTTTTCGTAAATGGAAAGCGCCCACAAGCACTTGTTTAGTGGTGTTGCTCTTTTGAAGGGCTACGAGCTTAAGCTACACATTGATGAGTCGGCGAAGCCTGTAGCGCAGCATGTACGCAGGATACCGTTCGGGTTACGCGAGAAGGTGGATGCAAAGCTGGATGAACTTTTGGAGCTTGACATTATAGAGGAAGTGCCGGAGGGGCCGTCAGGATGGATTTCGCCGTTGGTGGTGGTTCCCAAAAGCGATGGCGACGTAAGAGTCTGTGTTGATATGCGTCGTGCAAATGAAGCAATCGTCCGAGAGCGTCACCCAATTCCAACCGTTGAGGAGCTGTTACACGACTTGAATGGCAGTACGGTATTCAGCAAGATAGATCTCAAGTGGGGTTTTCACCAGATTTTACTCAGTGAGGAAAGTCGCCGCATCACTACCTTTGTCACGCATCGAGGGCTTTATCGTTACAAGCGGTTGATGTTTGGCGTAACGTCGGCGCCGGAGAAATATCAGCAGATCATTAGAGATGTGTTAAGGGGTTGTGCTGGGGTTGCCAACATTGCGGACGATCTCATTGTTCATGGGTGTGACGTGGAGGAACATGACAAGCGTCTTTTTGCGGTGTTAGATAGGCTGAGTGAAGTGGGGTTGACGGTGAACGGAGACAAGTGCGAGTTTAGATTGTCAAGGCTTACGTTCTTTGGTCACGAGCTGACTAGTGACGGCATAAACCCATCCGAAGAGAAGATTGCTGCTATAAGAGATGCTAGATCTCCCAAAGACGCAAGTGAAGTGCGATCGTTTATGGGTCTTGTCCAATATTCCGCTAAGTTCATGCCTGACGTGGCGTCCGTGGCCAAGCCTATTCAAGAGTTAACCAGGAAGGGCATCGTGTTTCACTGGGGTAAAGAGCAGCAAACAGCCTTTGAGGAACTGAAGCGTCTAATCACCCAGGCAGAGACACTGGCTTATTTTAAGGTTGGCTGCAGAACGCGAATCATTGCCGATGCGTCTCCAGTTGGATTAGGAGCGGTTCTCACCCAGCAGCAGGGGGGAATGTGGAGAGTTGTCTCCTACGCGTCGAGGAGCCTAACTGACGTGGAACGACGCTACAGCCAAACAGAGAAAGAGGCACTTGCCTTGGTTTGGGCGTGTGAACGGTTCAACATGTACGTTTCCGGACAGAGCTTCGAGTTGGAAACAGATCACAAGCCTTTAGAGCGTGTCTACTCGCGCACTTCAAAGCCTTGCGCCCGAATAGAGAGATGGGTCTTAAGACTACAAGGGTACGATTTTAAAGTGGTGTACCGCCCAGGGAAGACAAATATAGCCGACGCGTTGTCCCGTTTGAACTCCTTGGATCAAGTGGACCATGGAGAAGACTACGACTTTGTCAGAGCCATTGCTATAAGCTGTATACCCATTGCTCTATCACCTACAGAAATTGAAGAAGCTTCCTATTTTGACGAAGAATTGACGATAGTAAAGAGTTGCGTGAGGTCAGGGGACTTGGACCGGTGTACACTTCCCTCGTATGCACAAGTCAAGGACGAATTATGCGTCTATGGTGAGCTATTGCTTCGCGGCACAAGGATTGTGGTTCCCAAGCTCCTGCGCGACAGGGTGGTGCGGCTGGCACACGAAGGGCACCAGGGTATAGTGAAGACGAAGCATCGGCTCCGTAGTAAAGTTTGGTGGCCGGGAATGGACAAGGAAGTTGAGAAATTTTGTAAAGTTTGTCATGGCTGCCAGGTCACTTCTGGATTTAACCCTCCTGAGCCGATGTCCCGCGTTCTTCCTCCAAGTGCTCCTTGGCAGGATTGTGGAGCAGACCTGCTGGGACCCCTACCCACAGGGGAGAGTATTTTGGTGGTGATCGATTACTACAGTCGTTTCTTAGAAGTTGCTATTCTGAAGTCTACTACAAGTGCCAAGGTCATCGAAGCACTTGCACCCATGTTTGCCAGATTCGGTTTTCCGTTCTCTTTAAGGACAGATAATGGGCCCCAGTTCGTATCCGAAGAATTTGAAGCATATTTACGCGCAAATGGTATTGAGCACAGGAAAATGACGCCGTTGTGGCCTCAAGCTAATGGAGAGGTGGAACGCCAAAATCGCTCGTTACTTAAATGTCTACAGATTGCACATTTAGAAGGAAAGAACTGGAGAACTGAATTGCTTGTATGGTTGATGGCGTACAGATCCACTCTGCAAACGACGACGGGGACTACCCCCTGTTACATGATGTTTGGCCACGAGGTTAGGTCCAAATTGCCAGAGTTAAGGAGAGAGACGGTCGGGGTGCCAGGCGAAGAAGTGCGAGAGCGGGATTGGTCAAGTAAATTAAAGGGCAAAGCTTATGCAGATCTCAAGAGAGGTGCCACGCCCAAGAGCATACGTGTTGGTGACACAGTACTTTTGAAAGCCGAGAAAACGAACAAGCTGTCTACCAACTTCAACCCTGCTCCTTTTAAGGTGGTTCAGAGGACAGGAACAGAGGTAACGCTTAGGAGCGAAGCTGGTGTGCAACTGAAAAGGAACACTGCTTTCGTAAAGAAGTACAACGATGGTGTATCCAATGGCAACGGAGACCAAGTGGTACAAGCAATTTCTACAGTACAGACAGATGAGCCAGGGCCAAGCAGAGTTCCGGAGACGACAGAGGTATCAGGGCCAAGCGGAATTCCAGGGACTACAGGAGTATCTGAGAATTCCCAAGTACAAGCTGGGCATTCTACCGAAAAGAAAGATAACGCAGCGGAAAGGCCTGTGCGGAGGTCGACCCGAACTATAAGACAGCCTGCGCGCTATAAAGACTTTGTCCTGGATGTTTAGGACTTCTTCTTTTTTTTTTCCCTGTTTTGTCCAGTTTAATTCAAAGACTTTGTTTTGCTGAACATTTAGGGTTTTTGCAGCTTTTAAAAACTGCCTTCCTGCTAAATTTGATCAAAGAAGGGAATGTAGTGTATACTATGCTAATGCAAGCGCGTAGAAGCGAGAGAATGAATGTGATGTAATACACACGGGAATTACGTAATTTGCATGTACTATAGACAGCGTGTGTTGTAATTTATTCGAGTCAGTTAGCGTTCTGAGTTCGGAGTGTAACGGTCGTGAATAAAGTGTGTTTTAACCTAACCGCGGTACTACAGATACCTCATTCCTCCAATAATTGTACCTCAATGTTTGAACTTATAAAGAATTTCTGTTATCCATAACAACTTTAAATGGCTGAATAATCGAATCAGGGGGATGAAGAGGAATAATCCGGTGTTCATTATTCCAGCTGGAAATTTACGTTATTCCATTATTAGTCGAGCTTGCTTTAGCAGAGCGAGACTCTAAAAATGCAGTCGTTTCTTTTTTCTTGTCGGTGGGACCTAGTTTGTAGGCCACGCGTTCCTAGCGAAGACCGTGGAAACTGGGGATAAGAATCGTGGCGACTTTCACTGTATGCAAATGAGTCTCCTAATGAGCATTCGGTATATTTTCGGCGATGACTGAAGTTTGGCACTGATGTAATTTTCCTCGAATGGAGGCCCTTGATTTTCGTGTAATTATGCACGACATGCAGGCACTGATTAAAAAGGAAATATCCCCAAGTAGGGTGAGAAAATATTATAGCGGGGAAATCCTACTTTGTGGTGTTTTAAGGCGTTACGTTTCTCAGAATATTGCCTCAATTACTTTCGGAAATCTACGGTAAAATAGATTCACTTTGTTTTATGTATTTAATTGATAGATTTTCGCAGTTGTTAAGATGTGAAGTCGTGTTGCACTTTATAAATACTTGAGATATCAAGTATCTTTTACGTGCGTACGTGCGTAAGATTTGCGTTTGCAAATAAAATAGAGGCAATGTATGAAAGATCGCAGTTACAATTATGTAAGCGTTAAAGGAGAAACTCGCTCAACAACGCAGTGCGAATTGGTCCTCCGCAAATTGTGCCTGTGAGGAAGTTTGGGATGAAGGTATCATTTTTTTTTCAAGTTTTAGCCTTAAAATTGTCAAAATAAATCATATTGTGGCGCACTGCGCTGAAAAACTTTGTTATCTTCATATCTATAAATGTGCCACTCCACTGTAAAAAATATACATTTGGTTAGAGTGTAGCGTAGGTTAGCTCCAAAATAGTAACGTAGACCACACCCTGAAATTCTTCACATTTCACGAATTCCACGAAACTTACCAAGATAAAAATATTTTTTTTCTTTTTTATGCATAATGATTTATCACACCGTAAAATTTTAAGACAGTCTGACAAATCCTTCATCCAATTTTGTATTCACAAACCTGAGGTAAAAAGGGCCAAATTAGCCTCCGGTGTGATAATTCGTGCGCATTTTAGGTATTTCACCCCTATTTTATTTACGTGATTAAAATTTACGTGTGTTAACGTGCGGAGCCAAAAATACGTCAGTGGAAATCCACCCTAACGTTACGTATGTGTCACGGATGTGTTTATACGGGTAGCTTTGAACTTGACTATCCGCGCAACTACTTGCAGCACTTCATGTCCATAGAATAGAAATCCCATATCGAGCTTTTCCGGAGCGGGTTGGTCCAAGAATTCTATCGCTTGAATGTGTTGATTATTTTGGAACAACAACTGATCACTTCAGTGGTCGAAAATAAAAAGAATAATCTTAATCAGCAAAACTTCAAGGTTTACTGGAAAATCAGGATCGAGGATCGAGGATCGAGGAATTAGGGATTCAGGATCGGTTAAAAAGCACTTGAAAGTAAAATGAATAAATAAATGGTGGATCAGTGGTGATGTGGGCCGCAGACTGTAGATAAATTTCACAGAACATAACCCCGTTGGCTGTACTGAACACTAAATTCAAGTAAACTAATCCGAGTCTGTCTGAGTCAGTGATTGTTTTGACGAGAAAGTGAAATTTTCCTGGAAAATGAAACGCTTTATCCCAGTGATACTGTAATAAAAGAAAAAACTTAAACAGTTTTTAATTTTTTAATTGTACATTTGCTTTCAGTACTCCATATTTTTCTTGTAATTGTTGTATGCACGACCCCACCAGCAATGTTGATATTTTTATCGTGCTAAAATAAAGTTCTGATCTATCTAAAATGCATGCTGTGCACAACTCTAAACATTGTACTCTGAGACTGTACGAAAATATTAAAAGTAGATACTAAGCAGCTATGGAAAATGTAATTATTTTCACGCGGTATTGATATCTTATAAAGAGGACAACAAATTCAGCAGGAATACGTACGCGCGAACTGAATTAACTTTGTGTTGTATAAGGTTCTGTTAAACTTACACATTTTTCCTGTGCTGAACATATACTGTACCGAGCCGTACTTTGGTCCGGTACAAAGAAGCTATGAATATTTATACTGACAGATTCATGGTCCCCTAATACCGATAAAAATCATCGGTGAATTTTGGGGAGTGTAAAATTCCCGAAAGAGTACTCCTCAAAAGAGCAAAATCAATATGTAGAAGGTTTTCAAAAGGTTTCACACCAGTTTGAGGCTAAGTTGTGCGGCCTGTCTCTCCTTGCAATTTTTACTTTTTGAGTATTTACATTATGACATATAACACTCGTTTTGTATTCCAAACGAAAAAGTAGGATAACAGCACCGGTGCCTTTGACAACAAAACTTATCTCCAAGCAAGCGAGACTCACCTTACTAGCAGCGTTCTTGTTCCAGTAAAAAAGAACTCATTATTCCGTCGAAGAAACCTACTTTTTCAATTATTTTGCCCCAGAAAATGGCGTTATTTCCTTTTTTCTTACTCTACTATTTCTCTTCACCCCCAAAATCGAGCCAGCTACCGTACGTCTTTTAGAATCAGAATCAACAGTTCTTTTGTTTGTTTGTTTTTTGTAATCTGCTACAGGTTGGTGATCCAAACGAAGACAGTGTTAGTGAACTCAGATTAACAGGACCTGATCATGAGTTAGTGGTTGATACTACTTCACCTTCAGAGGAGATCAAGGATCGAACTGTAAATTTAATAAAGTACATGAAAGGTGAAGATGTTAAGCCTGAGGAATCTGTTGTCAGTATTGAACTGTGGGATTTTGCTGGACAACACCTGTATTATGCATCCCATCCTGTATTTTTATCATCACGTGCGCTGTACATCTTGGTGTGCAACCTCAGCAAGTCACTGCATGACACAGCCAAACCCTGTGTGAGACAAGGGTCTCGTAATGTTCCTTTGGAAAACCCAAATGGAGAAACAAATCTTGAGAATTTGTTGTCTTGGCTGTCCACTGTGCATAGCGTCGCACAGATGAGAAGAGAAACCTGTGATGATGAAGAAGAGGAGGTGCCTCATTATTTGCGTCCCCCAGTGATCATTGTAGGAACCCATGCAGACAAACCATTTGAAGACATTGAAACAATGAAAACAGAAATCCAGAACGCAATTGCTGGTAAGGACTATGAAGGGCATGTGGTGCGGCCTATCTTCAGCATTGACAACACTGCAAAATTAACTCAAAGAAAGATCAAGAAAAAAGTTTTCGGGAAAGATAAAAACATAGATAAGATCCAAGCTCTACAAGTGAAAATCTTGGAAGTGCTAAGACAGGAGCCTTACATTGGCGAGAGGATACCTGTGAGGTAAATAATGGTTATACAAGAACAGAATCCATTAAAGTAAATATTGAAAATAATTTCAAGGGTTGAGTTGTGAACGCACTGAAATTACGGTTTATGTGTATTGCGTTTGTTTCCGCCAGTCCTGGTAAGATTATTTTTTTGATATGTGTTTCAGGTCTCATCATTAACTCGTTGACTATGACGCTATATAAAAGTGTGACCGCAAAACATCTAAAGGCTGGTTCACTGTATAGTCCTTTACTTTGGTTAAAAAAAATTACAGCGTGCACAGAAAAAGTTCAGTGATTCCTGAATGAACCACCTGGCGGTCATAAGAAATGAATATCTCGTTGCTTCGTCGTGTAGAATTCCCGGTCCATTGAGGTCAACAAAAAATTTCCCGTCCGGGTGGGGGTTAGTATTTTGCTGTTTTTATCCTTGACACTTCTAAATGAAGCATTAATGAGGTAAAAACAACAAAACGGTCAAGGAGTACTGGAAACAAGTTTGAAAAATAAAAAAGATGGCGGCCGAAACGCGGAGAATTTTTTTGGCTTTCAAAAACGTTTTCTGGGCGTTTTCTTCGCGCTGGCTACCCCTCACGGGTTCAGGTCAAATTCAAAGGAAAACAAAAAACCCAGTTTTATCACATTCCTTGGTTTAAAAGACTGTGGTGGTTTTAAAGGCAGACGAGAGATGGCACGATATCAGGTTGTACCGTTCGCGATTTCTGCAAACTTTGGTTGTAATCTTTCCGCGAAAGTCTACGCAAGTGAAAATCCATACAAAAATGGCGATTTTTTAGTTGGTTTTTAGCGCGAAAAACCCAGTGAAATCCGATAAGCTGGCATTAATCGAAGGTAAGATCTTGAATTTGATGTTTTTTGATATTAATATTCCGGTGGTACCCATTGAGATTTGGCTACGAGTAACTCACAATCAGAGACAAAAAACTCTCAAAGTCGCTTCAGTCTTATTATTCCGCCATATTTTAAAGACCAAATCGTGGCTCGAATGCGGCTCTAGCCTGTTAAATTCCCGGATGTGACCGGGCATTCTACGCGATGTGAAACACGTTAACCATGAAAAGCACTTCTGACTGGGCTTAAGGAGTATTCTGCCCTGAAGGGTTTGATAATCTTATTTTGAATTGGCCGAAAAGCACTGTGTACATTTCATTGTCGTTTTAGAAAGATAAAGTAAAGTGGATCACACACCCGTTCAATCTGTAGTAAACTGCATAATACAGGGTGAACATTCAGAACATGACCAGCTGTATTAGTTAAGATTATTTAAGCTTATATTTATCTCATTTTAACTTAAGAAAGACCATTAATACCAACTAATAAAAAATCTTCATGGTTTTTCACATCTCAGCAGTCATGTTTTGGAGCACTTGCATGCTTCTGGCACCGGTTGTTCAAACGATGAATCACTATCAAGCGGAAAAAATATCAGTAAACCTAATGGCACTATCCACTATTTATCCAGTGAAAAGGTTTATCCACCTTTCGCACAACTGGGCCCTGTACTTTAGTCAGCACAGGTATACTGTGTTGTCACAGACATGACTTTGTATACTTTAACACGCGCCATCAGTTTTCTCTTTGGTTTTGTAAACTAGGTGGCTGAGCTTTGAGAAAGTCATCGACGCTTTGCTTTCCAAGCCAGTTTATTACCTGAGTATAACAAAGCTACGGACCCATGCCAAGGAGAAGTGCTTCATCAGTGACGATGAAGAGTTTACCACCATGGTGAATTTTTATCATGACCTGGGGATAATTATCAAGCACCGTAGCACAGTCACCTTGAGTGCCAAGTGGCTTATAGACTTGTTCGGGCAGCTGATCACTATTCCAGATTTTACGAAAATGGTAAGAAATACATTTTAAACGTGTTTTCAAACTTACAATGCTTTGTAGTGGCCCCCATTTTGGATGACATCACGGGTGTCAAACCGTGCCTTAACAAATAAAAATGATTATGTCACGTGCATTGCACGCTATCTTTCGTGTGTGACATCAGCACAATCTACCTTTAAAGGGGTGCAATGGAAGTACATTGCATGACTTGTAGAATTATCCTCAAATGTAGTCTTAAAGGAACGTCTCACAACAAAAAAGAGTGGAAAGATACATATATGTGTGCTGAAACCAGCGACTCTTTATGTCGAACAATCAGAACGCACTTTTATAGTTTCTGGAAGTGAAATTTGGACCTTGAGAATTTTCCGGAGAGTAAACCAAATAGAGGATTCTGGCATTTACGTGACGCTTTAAAGAGCATTCTATAGATTTGAAATCTGAGGTCTGTTTAAAAGGCTATGATCTTTTTTCACCCCCAGAAAGATTTATTCACAGTTATACTTTCTAGTCAGTCTTTCGTAACTTTCATTTTACACGTGTCCTCACACAAATCCCCAAATTGCAAGGAAGAAAGTTTTCCTTGAATGTTTACTTAAAATGTTTAGTAGCTTATTTCTTTTAGAGAACTTGCTAAACTTTATTAGTATAACATTTAGAAATGTAAAATGATCCTGGAAGAAAGCTATTTTGAATAGTTTTGTGATCATTCAATCAATCAAATCAATCAATCAATCAGTCTTTATTCTTCGTAAGATAAAAAGACATATCTTAAGTTACATCAGCAGTTAGGATTCTAAAAATACATACGACATACTGTATACAAATAATAGAAAGATTAAAGATTATATCTAAAAATAAGCCTATTTACAAAAACATTCTTAAATGTATCAGTCTTTATATCCGAGCGATGAGCACTTTTGTTTCTGAGTTGTTGCTTTGTTTCTTTTTTCTTCGGAATGATGTTACTAAGCTGGCAATCGGGATCCACTGATTATCTGCCTTTTCTAAAATTTCTCGAATGTCCATTCTCTTAGATGTGTATTTCCTTTTAAAACATCTATCCAAAACGTTTTGTATGACCGTGAGATCTGAGTCTACAGCACTATAAACAGGCAGACCATAAGTGAAATTCGGTAAAACTAAGGCGCTAAATAGGTGGCTACTTCAACTTGACTAAAACCTTCCATCCGTAAAAAATCTTAATACAAACAGACACTAACAGTATTTGCCTTAATCAACTTAGCACGTACGTATTCGCTATATTTACAATTCTCCTAAAACCTAACACCTAAAATGAGCAGTGAATGTTATTAACTTGCACGATATCCTGAATAAAACCTTTCTTGCGAAAAATAATTTCTTTACATTCCTCTTTCTATTCCGTCTTAGGTCCCTAAGTTTGCAAAGCACTGGAAGGAGGTCGAAGAAAGCGGTGTTCTCAGCATGGAACTGCTTGATCATGTGTTTTCCAAATTTCTTCTGGAGGGCGTTGCCAGGAAAGACATTCTGGATTTGATGGAACAATTTGGATTGATTGCAAAATTTTCATCTTTAAAGACAGGTGAAAAGTATTTCGTTCCATCTCAACTCAAAGCTTCGCCTGATTCTCTTTGTTCCATGGCGCCCTCAAGGCTGGACCCTTGTCCTCTGTTTCTTTACTTTGTCAGCGGTTCTGTTCCCCATGGTCTGTTCACTCGGCTTGTTTCTCGATCTGTCCGTTGGTGTTCAGAGGCTGGTCCAACTCAGCCCCCTACCCTGTACCAAAATGGAGCGTGGTTTATCATTGGGAAGCAAACTTTCCATGATTTTGTTCTTATTTGTAAGAAGCAGTTTATTAAGTTTTTTATCAAGCAAAGAAACCAACTTCAGCAGATCTCGGTGGATGGCACAAGTGAGGTAGCAGTGCATGTTCGTGAGTTTGTGGAGGCAACTTTGCAAACTTTGTCTCGTGATCTCTATAAAGGTGGATTGCAGTATCATATTCGGGTCGCCTGTCCGTATTGTCAGCGGGAAAAGTGTTCAAGGCATGATCAGATTGCATGTTCTCATGAAGATTGTCTTCATCTCCTTGAGTTAAGACAAGGCGATCCTCTGATTTGCAAGAAGAAACCTGTTGAGGAGGTACTCACAGTTAAGGGACAGCAAAAGTGGTTCTCGCAAACAGAAAGTAAGGTAGGTAGCAGTGAAATGCGATCTCTAGCAGTAGTCTTAGCAAATTTCATATAGCAAGTGAATACACATACTACTCATAAAAAATTATGTCCTTAAAAGATGGCCATCTATTTAAAATAAAAAGGTTTCAACAAAGTCTATGCATGTGGTTTGTCAGGTTATAGTATGATGTACAACGTATGCCTTCATTTATCCTACCACAAGCCTCCTTGCAGTGTATGAGATGGCTTTGTTGCCGTCAACTTAACGAACATTGGTTCTTAATATCAAGTCGGTTGATAAGGTCAATTGGCTACCATCTATTACTAATTGTTATTGGCCTGTTGGCATTAAGCAGTGGGTATATAACTTTTTCTCAAGTCCTTTTAATGTGCTGTTTTGCTTTAATGTTGAGTAATAAGTTTATAGCATCTAACGTGTTGATAACATGTTTTGCAAACTTTCACTTCAAAATGTAGAAACCCCCAGATGTAAAAGTTTATATTTTAAAGTGCGCAATTTTTGTTGCTATGCAGGAGGCGTGTACTCAATCATCATCACCTGATACTGCACAAGCTCATCCAGAGAGTCTTGTACTAAGAGTTGCCCTTCTCGCGAATGAGTGGGGGTCGTCCAAGGGTGGCTTGTCAACGATAAACAGAACTCTTGCCATACATTTGGCAAAAGACGCAAACGTAGAAGTCACCATTCTTGTACCTGAATTTGAGTGTGGCGAAGAGGATAAGAGAGCTGCCGAAAGTCACAACATTGCCATCCGGGAAGTAGAGCGCCTTCCTGCCTTCAGTGATCCTCTTGACTGGTTGAGTTTTCTACCAGATGACCTTGACATTCAGGTTGTGATCGGCCATGGAGCAAAGCTTGGCAGACAAGCACAAATTATTAGAAAGTCCCATCGATGCAAGTGGGTGCAGGTTGTTCACACTGAGCCTGAAGAGCTGGGGATGCATAAGAACTATCCAAGCGCCATTGCCAAGGGGGAAGGGAAGAACAGAGCTGAAGTTGACCTTTGTCAAATTGCAGATCTCGTTGTAGCCGTTGGACCCAAGTTGAAAGAAGCGTTCTCGTCCAAGTTGCGTTCATCTCGTCGAGATATCCTTCAACTGATACCAGGTTCCTTCGCAGAGTTTTCAAGCATTGAACATGCTGTACAAGAAAGTGTAAATTTCAAAGTGTTAGCCTTCGGTCGCGGTGATTTCGAAGACTTTAGTCTTAAAGGATACGACATTGCCGCTCAATCCATAGTTGAATTGAAGGACAGTTCCTATAGTCTTGTTTTCGTTGGTGCATCCGATGGAAGGCAGGATGAAGTCGCAGAAATCTTACTCCAGACTGGCATTTCAAAGAACCAGCTGATTGTCAGATCATTTGTGAAAGACAAACAAAGATTGAGAGAGTTGTTTTGTGAAGTCGATCTGGCCATCATGCCATCAAGAACTGAGGGGTTTGGTTTGACAGCATTGGAAGCCATGTCAGCTG